TAAAATCAATAAGAAATTAGAATTAATCCAAAAAAAAATTTGGGCAAGTTTTAATGTTTTAAATATGCCTATATTCAGAAAATCCAGAAATCTCTTCTAGTCAAAAGAGAGATGCTGAAGTAATAATATAAGAAAAGAAGGAGGCTGAAGAAATCCATGGAAATCCTTGATTTACCAAAACTAAAAATTGTGGCAAGATTCATCACAAGTAATAACATTAGATTTTTAATATAAGATGTCTAAGGCAACAAGACTTCTTTCTTATTACTCTAACTAACCTTTGTAGCTCTTAGTTTGAATTAGAAATGTAAAAGTATTTATAAAAACAATGAAATATTCCTTGAGCTTAACACTATGGCAATGGGCAAGCACCACATAGAAATGGATGACTTGATTGTGCACATGAAATTTTCTAGAACTATGTTCATTTGTCTATCTTATTTATAATTTGTATTGTAAAATCTCTTACAGTGTCAACAAACAAACATAAGAATTATAACCTCTACTTGAATTAGGAATTATAATTAATTCTTCTAATGATGCAACATACAAATCCACCACTTGTACAATAACTTTTGCTGATATAGTTTAATAAAAATTCCAAATACATGCACAAATTGCCCCTATCCACAACCCAATTTTTTCTTGTAAATGACCATCCAATATAAGTTCACTAGGTGCATTCTTAAAACACAATGTCCATGCTAATGGACATCTCTTGGATATAAAAATAAAAATAAAAACTTTTGACATCACGTCGGCTAGAGAAGTTCGTAAAGTTATGTTCCCCTAAAACCATCAAATTTTCACACTCTGAACTGAAAAACAATGATTCTTATTTTATAACTAACCAAGGCAGGTGCGCATCCGTGCAGGCGGAGGAAGCGAAAGGTGACCTCGCCAGGATAAGCAATGATCGGCAAAGGAACAGCAACAAGTGGCACTCAACTGCGTGTCCCTACCGACACAATCTTCCTCCCTCCGGGTAAGTCTCCTCGCTGCTGCTCTAGTGCCCGCCCAACCTCACCCGAGAGACTCGAGAGGTTCACACAATCCTCAGAAAAATGTGACCACAATGCTGCGTGGTTGCGATCCGCAGTCGCCGTGGCAGAGACCACTCCTCAGCACAACTTCTAGGACTTTACTGGCACTGAAGTGATAGTTGTTTTTTGGCAGAGTGGCTGGAAGCTATAAATTGATTGGTGCGTGTCAGGAGGTGCCCCCCATTGGAGGCTTGATCAGGTGGGGTTGAGAGCCCAGTGGAGATCGGGTCCTTGGCACTGAAGCGAAGCATCTGGAGAGGAGATTGAGGAAGAGAGCAAGGGGAGAGTTTCACGCTTCTGCAGTGACGATGTGGCGGAGCGTAGCTACGGGGAAGTGCGCGGCGCAGTTACTCATGATTGCGAATTTGGGGATGGTGATCCTCAGCTTGAGTGCGATGGCGGAGGAACTCGCGCCACCCGTAGTCGCGACTATCGAGCAATCGGGGATGGTGTCGACGTCGGACACTGTACAGGTTGTGAGAGAGCCGGAACTTCCACCACAACTGGCGACGCTTACTTTGACCGTTAGTTTTGACGAGAGAGATGTGGACGATTTATATGTGGGACGTGGTGGTTGAATCACCGCCGGATCCGAGACTGGAGGACAGCAGCATATGGGAATACTCCAAGCTCTTGATCCCACAGGACCAAATCCGCTTCACAATTGAGGCTAATTAACCCGGTAGCGACATCCCTGGCGGGTTTGAATGACGAGATGTTTAGATATTTCTCGTGATGAGGTTGCTCTAAACTTGTCCATTGACGTGTTCACTTTGTAAGGCAAACGTCTTCATCCTCTTTCCGTTGGTGTATTTTGCTTAACTCCGTCATCTGGATCAGAAACCTTCGGCTGTATCGTCGATTTAGGACAATCGCTACGATGTTGCGAGCAGCGTTTTTCAATGTTTTAAAATTAATTTCAGCCTCGTAGTTGGAGTAATCTGCCACCATGGTCTTGGAAACAATGTGTTGTGCAACTCAATGGTGCTGGTTCTCTCACATGATGATGAAATTTTCCCCAGTTGCCGCAGGAGATAGTAGCAACTCACCTGGAATGTATGCTCAATTTGAGGGTTCTCAGGGGGTTTAATTCCACCTCGAACTAGGATCAGCGCAATGCAGTCAAACCATTTGATAGAAGGGATCAAGCATTCTGACTCAAGGAGCTATGTACCAAGATCTCAGATGCAGGAGTCGCTGTAGTTTGTAGGTCAAGAGACTCAGCTCCTTCCAGTTGATGTGTTGCTTAAGACATGAAGCTACAGTTTGAGATTGTGAAAACAAAAATGCCGCAAAATTTCTGATATAGATTATTTAACTGATGTGAGGTCACGAATGAAGCATTCATGCCCTGCCAACCTGTAGGACCCGATCGAGCAACCTTCGACGTTGGAAGCTTGCGTGCATTCAATTGAAAGGGTCGATGGAGTTTAAATGTTTCATAGAGTGTGCGGCTTTTCTGGCATCCAAGGGGTATTAGAGCCAGATTACCGTGGTATGGTAGCATTGAGATTCCTAACTACGATCAACTTTGTTGTTCACAGCTGGTCATAATTAGAGTAAGTTTGTGGCTGATTGGGTCCTATTGTAAAGAGTTGTGAATAGTTGGGAAGGTGCGCCTGCTACGCCTGAATTCGTATGATCTCATCTTACTGTAAATTGTTGAGGTCACTTCTCGTGACTTTGTTTGTTTGTTTGTTTTTTTGTTTGTTGGTTATTTTACACACTCGACTACACTATCGAGTGTGTAATAAAGGCGCCACTCGAAAGCGAATACCACTGTAGCCATCACATCTTGGTCTGTTGCGATAAAGGCATGTAGAGAAGAATAAATTGGAGTGTGAGATTCGCTTTCCACTCCAGAAAATAGAGCAGAGATGTTTATATGCATTGCTCGACGGTTAATTCAAGATTATGTATCGACTCTGTGCCAATGCAACGCTAAACCCATGAATAATGTAACTTTTTCTGCAGTTGGTTTTGGCATTTGTTTGAAAGTATTTCAACTGGGATAAATTTGCTACAAGAATCATTTGGATCTAATCGTATGTCGATCAGATTGGAGGCTAACCTGCAACTCAATTTTAGGAATCTTCATCAGAGGTATGCGCGACAACAAATCTAGGATCTAATTTCTTTTTCATCTTTCGAAGTGTGCGTTTATTGTTTCCATCTAAAGCAGCAACGTCCATCATCTTGACCCACAAATTTGTGTTCTAACTTTGCTTTGGAAGTGGCATCCCAATGGAAACACAAATCATATGTTGTGTAGAAGGTGGATCAGCGAAATTTATGAGCCCTAAATCCCAACTTAAGCTCGTGTAATCTGGAGAAAAGCGCAAGTCGACATTATGTTGTGCAATCAAAGCAATCACATAAATTCTGGGTGATTCGACCTCTACGACGAGAAGGGGCCTCCGAAACTTGGGGTCCACGGCGATAAATAGCTTTTATCCATGTGCTTTGGTCCTCACTTAAGCTGGACAATGGTCTCTTGCAGTCAATGTCAACCACCAGCTCAAGTAATCGTTAAGAACTAGTGGGGGCCTGCGATGCTGGAGCTTCTTCAACTCGTGCAGGGAAACATACAACAAGAGAAGAACCTCTCAGCTCATCAAGTTTTCAAGAAGTTACTGAAGTTAAAATGAAAAAGGTTGTCACTTAAATCCCTCATTTTGTTCCTTGTAGCTCAGGGATTTAAAATATCAAAGACTCATGCAGCAGACTTTGGTTAAGAACGAACTGTTTGCATGGCTTTGAACGGAGCTTAGGTGTATCATGGACTGTAGAATTGGGTCTGAACCAATCGCCCTCATTACTACGCCTATCTGAGGAAGATTCTTCTTCTGGTCCATAATTGAGCAAGTCCATCCTTATCTGAATCAATCATGTTTGTAAAGTTGACGAAACTTGAAGCAAAGACTAACATATCTAGAAACGGAAAGCTATTTGGAGATCATTCTTGGCACTGTGTAGATTGGTCCCAGAAGAAGCATCTTCGTCGACCTGCATTAGGTAGCTAGCAGCCTCTCAATACGCAAAGAGCACAGGTGAGATGTAAAAGCTCGTCTCTGTCAGAAGAATCTGCGAAGGTTTGTGACTGCACCTTCTAGGCTTTTCTCTTCTTTCAGCATGCGCATGAATATAGTCGCAAGCTTGGCTGCTAAAATACATGAAACTTCTCCTTCCAGCGTGCAGCAGGATGAAGCTATTTGCCTAATTTTTTTGGCATGCTACCACGTTGGTTCTGACCCATGTCTGTTTGAAGAATGGTCGTAATGAGTCAAAATGAAACACCCATATCATCCCAAAATATGTGAAGTAAAAACAGTTTTTAAAGCAGATTTTCCTCGCCATTCAAAAGATACTGTTGAAAAGGCATCATTTGTTGAAAAGTGGCAAATCGAAAACATGATTTTCCCGCTAGAATATGGTGACAAATGATGAACTAAGCCGGAAAGACATTGATTATCTATAGAAGTCTGTGTAACTTTGGCTGGCCTACATGCTGCAAGCATGCAACAACCTCCAGATAGACGAGGGAGTTCATTGGAAGGATACCAAGGGCTTTATGTACTAAATCAAAACTTAAGATTGTCTATGTCCCTTATGGACTAAATCAAAACTTAAAATTATCCCCATAGATAATATTCCCGCTAGAATATGGTCCCTTATGTACTAAATCAAAACTTAAAATACGACCTAATCTTTAGGTAAAGCACGATTGGAGTTCACCTATGATGCTAGGTTCTGAGAATGTGTCTTCACTGAAATAAAATTTTCTGTAACAAGGTCAAAACATCATAATAGTTCAAGTGGACTGTGAAGCATGAGCTGCAGTTGTCGAAATACTTCAATCTGTAAGTTACTATCAATAGGTTTAAAAGTTCTTCATTGGTGGACCATAAGTGAATTCATTCCTCAAAATACAATTCCATCCTCATGTGCCTAAAAGAATAAAAAAAACTCAAAGATAATTAATGTTATTAATAAGATAATTTAAGAAAGATACATTGAAGATTGGAGAACTCAAATGTAAGTACATTCCACGTTTGAGATACATGAACCGTTCCTAACAAATACAAGTGTTCAGCTCCCATTAAATAGCAAACCAAACCATCGTGTATTTACTCAAGCTGCCAATCAGCTTCATTGATAATAGCATCTGGGACCAGAAGAACGAGAAGTCAATTGCTGCTCGTCATTAACTCATAAATCCTTACAAAACTGGTGCATTTTCTATCACAATTGATGGTCATATCATTCATAGCATAGCTGCGCTTGGAGACATTCTGAAGGATAGCAACCAATCCAGGTCTCGTGATCTTCTTGAGCCTGAAACCAACAACGCCAACAGAATCTTTTCCGAGAAAGCGGAGAAAGGAATGAATAACGATACATGCGATATCGTACTGTGGCCATGGGAAGACGAGCTACATGTCGTTATGGACCACCCTGAATACTCGACAAAAGTTCAATGAATTTTGGTCTTCATGACTTGAATGAAAATGCCACCAACTGTGCCTTGTGAAATTGCCAATGACAATTAAATTAGGTAATCAGTGACTCGCCTTACAATTCTCGTTAATCGTCTTCATCTAAACAAGATAAATCCTCTGCGAAATTATCAACGAACAAGCAAATCCAGGTCGTCATTAACCAGAGAACAGATCATTTTCCTGAATTCGAAGTGAATACTCAGCAAATTTAGAGTTCACATTTCTATTCATACTCTGAAAGTCACCAACTACAAATTCAGATTCTCGCATAAAATCCGCAGACCTCCACCCTCACGAACATCCTGAAGCGAACCAAGTGCTCCCATGAACGACATGCAGTTGCGTTTCCATGGAGTCCGAAAACTGACCTTCAACACAGTCGACACATCCTCCATAGCTTCCATCACGGGTTTGCTGAAACCCGCGGACTGCCCTGCCTGTCCCATGTTTTGGGCCAGCACCTGGGGGGAACCCAGCCCAACCCTTCCTCAGAGGGCACAGAAGCGACAGTGCCTCCCTGGACACTCCACCACATGCGAGATGCACCACCACAAGTGGATCTTGACACGTAAATTATAATTGGTAGTCCAGCAAAGCAGTAAGCACAACGTGGATGCCAGCACGGCAAGGACAAAGGACGTTACAACCATCCCACAAACTTTAACACAACCGATCTCGTACAGCCATTGGTGGGTCAGGGTTTCGACTAAGACTGTTGCCCCGTTCACACGAATGCGTCTTGCGGCCCCGCCAAAGGATTCTACACGTGTCTCTCAACTATTGGATCTATATTAAGAATATCTGATCTGGTGGTTTGATGTGGGCCCGATCAATATGTAGGTTGCCAACTCAAGGCCAGCGTGGTTTCCCGGGACCGAGAACCCACGTGCTTTTGGATGTATTGGAAAAATTTTCTCGAATCGGAATCATTTTCCACATGGAAAGTCGGGCTCTGAAGTGTTGAGGCTCCTGAGATGTGATTTTCACACGGGGATGGGTGGCTGGTGCCTGGTGACGTGTCCGTCAAATGATAACTTATTTCTCTGCCTTGTCTGTGTGCAACGATGACGGTGCGCATGGGCCTGTAAGTAAGATGACGTGGCAATTCCCTCTCCTCCCAACCCGCTTTCATGTTGACAATTTACAATAGAAACAAGGCAAGTTGGAAACATTCATGAGGTTTTTAATAACGATGTTACATTTGAAACACGACAAAAAGGAAAAAACATAAATAAATATATCATATGTATATGTGTACTCATAATTATAAATTTTAGTCAAATGGTTGTCAAGATACTATTGCGGATCAAGTGGCGGCAGAAAAACTAATATATCATTATTATAATATTTTTTTAATTCATTCTAAAATGATTCTAAGTCAACTATTTATTTATTAATTTCTCTTTTACCTTATCAACAAGTTTATAGAACTCTGTACACAGACAATACGATAGATTAAATAAAATTAGGTACAACAATATTAATATAAACATTGTATTTTAAAAATGTTGGTTACACAACAAATGATAACATAATCCACTGTACCAAAATAAAAATTTGCATAAAATATTTTTTAGAATTATACACTATAATTGTAAAGTTTCATAATTTTTCAATTAACACTCTAAATTAAACAAAGAAAATATACATTAAATAAAATACACATTATAAAGCTTAAAGGTAAAGAAACTTAAATCATCTTTAAATATTAAATTAAATTCTAAAATCATAACCACTAAGATACACAAATACATATATATATATATATATATACACATCATGCATATGTTATAATGAAGAATTTAACAACTCAATGATTCTAATCAGTGGTCTAAATATACATCTAAATTTAACACCTATAGATTTAAGAATATTTAACTCATATTATTTAAGATCGACAAACTTAATGTTTTTAAACTAATTTTAAATTTCACATAAAGTTTTTATTTGATTGTTAGTAGGAATTCAAATTCACTAAAGTTATATCTAATATATATATATATATATATATACACACACACAAAAATATTGACTTTGAATATACAGATATGTGTATATATATATAATGTAAAAATATTCAGATTTTATAATTTTCATTAAATAATATTTTTGATATTTAAAAAGTATATCATACAAGTACTATTCAAATTTTTTTAAACTATTATTACTTACAAAAAGAATAAGGTTATTGGAAGTATAATTATTGTATGCTATCTAATTCAACTAATTGTCATTTCTCATCAATCTTTTAAATGCCACACATAAGCAAATGAAATGGTCAATTAATATCCCAATTAGTTATTCATTTTCTAATATTCTAATAGATTGTACTATTCTTCAACAAACTAGCTTATGGCATTGCTAAGTTAAAATTTAGTAGTTAATTAAAGTCTATAAATACTATGAAATATTTATATAAAATTATGTTTATATATATATATATATATATATATATATATATATAATATGATATCTAATGAAAAATTTTCATTTGACCATTAAAATTCTAAAAATGTTTATGTGAATATAATTATTTTATTAGGTCTTAAGTATATATATATTACAAATAATATTATTTAAAAAATTTTGCACCACCACATATTTTATTTACCACTTCTATAGTTGTATATAAAAATAAAAAAGAAAGATCATCTATGTAGTGATATTTTTCATGGGAATTGTTATGCATTTATGACCTAGTTTTTTTGAAATGAAATATAACAATACAAGTTTGTTTTCTTTAATTTTATTCTTTTCTTTGAAAATAATTTGAACATTCATTTTTATTATGTTTTATTTAATCAAAACTTAAATAGATTGGTTATTTTAATATAAATTATATATATAAGTTTTACAAAGATGTAAATAGGATATTTTATTTTTTATATTCTAATAAATAATAATTTAATTAATTATTATATTTTAAAAGAAAATCTACCTATAAATATTAAAAAATTCATCCATACACAAATATAAAAGAATTAATTATTTGAAAGAAGAATTAAAGAATTATTTTTACATAATAAATTTTATAATTTTAATACTAAGATTTTTAAAAACATAAGTAATTATTTCAAGGTTCTTTTAGAATATTTAAATATAAAAAAAATTAAAATAGAAATTTTATACATATGATAAATATCTAATATAAGTTTTATTAAATAAAATTTTATTTAATATTTTTTAAAATATTTTTAAAATTACACATTTCAAACATTTATAAAGTTTTACATTTAAGGGTATTTAAAATAATAAGAATAGTTTTAGAAATTATATTTAACATCTTGTAAACTTTCTTAAATTATTCAAAAAAAGTGACAAAATATCTAAAATAAAATAAGAAAAACATTCTCAAGTCTATGACCAATAGCAAAGTAGAAGTCTTAAAAATAAATAAAAACTTATGTAGTTACAATATAATTGAAACATTTATCAATCCAAAAGGTATAACATTATATTTAAAATTTTTGTACCTTGTCCAAAATATTGTCTTCCATTCACCTCCTTTTTTAATCTACACCAAATTATACATTCTATAGAAATCTATTTTGATATAGATCTTGGCTTGATCGAGTTACTTCAAAAGCTTTAATATCAATAATAGTGAATAACAATTCTTCACCATTATTATGTTGAAGTTCCAATACTTAATACACATTTGTAAAGATTTTTTTTTTTTTTTTTTTTTTTTTTTTTTTTTAATTAAAAGTATTGGTGCACCTATTGATGATTTGAAATGCCAAATAAAGCTTTTTGTAAGATTTTTGTTAATATAATATTTTAATTTTAAAAGCTAGTTTTATAATAGGTTTTAAATTGGACCAAATGGTGTTTGAGTCCCATCTTCAAGATCAATGGCACAATCATACAGTCAATGCTCTGACAATATGTTAATATTATTCTTTTCAAAGATATCTTAAAATTCTTTATATTACTCTAGAATAACTACTAACGAGCTTACTTCTTCATGAGCTCAAGTTGCATAAATGAAAAATGACATTTCTTTCTTAGCCATCTTCATAAAAGCCCCTACTCCAAAAAATAAGAGCTTTGTTGTTGATGACTTCTTGACAGGTTTTTTTTCAAAGGAATTCTATAAAAAATTCAATCTTATGAAACTTGTAATCTATAAATTGGTTATATCTTTTCAACTATAAAAATTGTAGAATAATAAGATTAATTAAGATTTTAATAATATTAAATATTATTTTACTACTATAATCTTCAAATGATATTTATAATATTACAGTCCTATGAGTAATATTGCTTGAAGATAAAGGTCGACTACCTATTACTTCCACATATATAAGTTTTGATTTCTGCATTAATTTTTTTTTATGAAATTTGAAAAAAAATTCATTTAAAAAACTAAAAAATGCTTATAAATCTATTAAGGCATTTGTTTGAAGTTTTTGTAGGCCAAAAAATAAAAGTATAATAAAACAAAAAGTAGATTGGAAGAAAAAGAAGGACCTTGATAAATTTGAGGTGTTAGAATTTCAAGCTATATAATCTTTATTATGGCTAGGCCTCTTTGTTTTCTTGAACAATCATACTTCTAATCTTAGTTGTATATTTTTTCTTTGGATAGTTTCCAAATTTGTAGTCTTTTTCACCAGAATATAAGTATAAGCCTTATTCAAATCAGTGCTTCTTTTATTCTATTATAAGAAATTTAAAGTATACTATATTAATATATATATATATATATATATATATATATATATATCTTTAGTTCCAAAATATAGAAGTAATATATTTATTGAAGCAATAGAATATAAATTTTTAGTATATTTCTTTGTTGAAATTCACAAGCATTGATCTTGACATCATTGAAATAATCAATTATAACACTTTATAACTTGGTTGATAGCACAATTGAATGTTTGAAGATCAGATAATAATAATAATAATAATAAGTCTTTCACAACATTTCTTAGTCTTCAATAGAATTGGCTTCTAAAAGCTTATTCATGCCAATTAATATCATAAATTAATTGCTTAAAATCATATGCATAAATTGATACAAAATATGATCTTTGATGTAATGAATAAATCTTTATTATTGTCTACTAGGCCTTGTCATGTTTTCCAAATATCTTTACAAATACTTCTAAAAAAGCTTTAAATTTGTTGAAGGTTGGAGATTTCTTCTCAAATAAAAGAAAAAATCAATATAAGGCTTATCTTGTGAGCAAAATTCTAATTAAATCAACTTTCAAATTCTTATTAAATAGTGCTCAAGTTATAAAAAAATTATCAATTAGATTTAGTTAATAAATCCTTGAAACTTAGAACATGTGCCATCAAATATTTTTGAAGAATTAATTCGAGACTCCTTATATTATTGAATAGGTAATTTTTTTTTATTAAGGTATTAGTATGACCACATCTTTAGATAAAGAATCTTGAGAAATTTTTTGCATCATAGATTAAATTATTTTAGATCTTGTATTATCATAACATCTTATAAAAAATTCTTCAATTTGAGTAGTTCTATGAAATAAAGTTTTCAAAGTATTTATAATAAAATCTAACTTCGACTTGAGAGACTCAAC